ATTGTGGGATTAATGTAAGGCATGCTGCTTTTTTTTTTTTTCTTTTCAGGGCATGCGATGCCTATCAGGTCTCTGACTTTCTCTCCAGACTCTCAGCTGCTGGTAACCGCATCAGACGACGGCTACATCAAGATTTATGACGTGTAAGTTGCAAATTTCCGTGCATCTTTTGCCTCCTAACACATTTGAATCTCACGGTCTGATTGTGTGTGTGTGTGTCTCACAGGCAGCACGCTAACCTGGCCGGCACTCTCAGCGGTCATGCATCCTGGGTGCTAAATGTGGCCTTTTCACCTGACGACACACACTTTGTGTCCAGGCAAGAGTTGATGCACTTCAGATGAATGGAAATGTAAAATGTAGTTTGTGTTCTTAACTGTTGTTTCTTTTTAGTTCGTCTGATAAGAGTGTAAAAGTGTGGGACACGAGCAGCAGATCGTGTGTGAACACGTTCTTTGATCATCAGGACCAGGTGAGAGATGTTTCCACAAAAATATAAAGCAGCACAATTGTTTTCAACATTGGTGTTACTTGAGAAGCGAATATTAGAATGCGACTCTGAAGACTGGCATAATGATGCTGGAAATTCAGCTTTGCATCACAGGAATAAATTACATTTTAAAATATATTACAATAGAAAAAAGTGAGTATTTTTTTAGGGCATGCTTATGTTCAAATGTGTGTGGATTTGCAGGTTTGGAGTGTGAAGTACAACCCCACAGGCTCTAAAATCGTGTCTGCGGGTGATGACAGAGCCATCCATGTTTACGACTGTCCCATGTGAATCGCCTCGAAACTACAGCCTCCTGAGCCTCTCAAGACCACAGCATACATGCACATTTTTATTTCATTGGCAACTTCAACATCTGTATATGGCGATACAAATAAATGTTTGTTTTTTTAGTTGTTCCGGTTTGTCTTGTTCAGGATTCACACATTCATTTATATTCATTATAGAGTTTCATTACTTAAAAAAACGTAAAATTCCCTGATCTTTCCTGCTTTTTCACAAAACTGAGCACTGTCTGCCCTCTGCAGGACACTAAATGTTACTGTGCCAATTCAGAGTCCTTGGTTTGGTCTGTATTATAGCAAACATGTGTAAAAATGAATTATGATACATAAAGATCCAAAGCAGAACTTGTTTGAATGTTGAACCCTTTGGAGAGCACATAAGCAGCACTGGCAAAAAAAATTAAAAATCACAAACTGTTTCATTCTCGTGGTTCATTTAATTCACTCTCCAATGTGACACACAGTTCTAGTTAGAAACAATATTTTAGACAAAAATACAGTGGCAAAGAAGTGCAATACAAATCACAATTCTGAAAACAAAATAAATTACAAATGCAAATCTACAAAACAAAATAATTCTGAAAACAATGATAAATCTGAAAAGAAAATAAATGCAAATCTTCAAAACAAAATAATTCAGAAAAAACAATGATGTGTAAAAATGAATTATGATACATAAAGATCCAAAGCAGAACTTGTTTGAATGTTGAACCCTTTGGAGAGCACATAAGCAGCACTGGCAAAAAAAATTAAAAATCACAAACTGTTTCATTCTCGTGGTTCATTTAATTCACTCTCCAATGTGACACACAGTTCTAGTTAGAAACAATATTTTAGACAAAAATACGGTGGCAAAGAAGTGCAATACAAATCACAATTCTGAAAACAAAATAAATTACAAATGCAAATCTACAAAACAAAATAATTCTGAAAACAACAATTCTGAAAACAATGATAAATCTGAAAAGAAAATAAATGCAAATCTTCAAAACAAAATAATTCAGAAAAAACAATGACAAATCTGAAAACAAAATACCAAGTCAGAAAACACAATGACAAATCCAAGTATAGGTCTCTGCGGACCAAAAAGGGGGCGTTTCTCAAACGTTCAATGTCATTTTCATCTCATCTAAATTATAATGCCTGAACACTGCCTGATAAAGTAGCATTTATGAGAGCCGCACAGCTTTTGTGTACAGCTGTTACGAGGGAAACCGTTCCAAAAGCGCCTCCTACTGGCAGAGAATCAATTTGCATGTTCAATACGGCCGTTTTCTACATTTGAACGGTCTTAATGCTGTTGGATATAATGCAATTCGTTTAATTTTCATAAAAAAACTCTTAATATTTTGCATTTATATTCTCACCTTTAAATTCGTTCCGCCCCACAAAAAAAATATAAATTTTTAACACGCCTCTGCCTGTTTTTTGTTTTTTTTTTGCATTCCCATTTGCTCAAGTAGCAAAAGAAAAACCCACGATAGTGTTTTCACGACTTATAAAAAGAGAAAAAAATTAAGAGATACTGATAACGGTCAGAAGACAGAGCTATGTCAAATTTACCGTCACTCCATAGACACAGTCTTGTGAAAAGGGTCGGGTTTGTCTGATCTGTCGTTGTGTTTTCTGACTTGTTATAATGTTTTCGGAATTGTTGTTGTGTTTTGTGAATTATTTTGTTTTTTAGATTTGCGTTTGTAATTTGTTATTTTGTTTTCATAATTGTGATTTGTTTTGCACGTCTCGGCCACCGTACAAAAACGACTACGGCAGTTATTTTTAAAATATGAAGCACATTTATAAAACATTTGAACTGTAAAAGCTTTGGCCCCAAAATGCTGTTTGCTGACGGTTAAAAACAAGGCGTGAGACAAACACAAAATATGACAATCCAAAGAAGATTCAATCAAACTGAAATATCATTCAAGACAACACGATTCTTTCGAACTTTTCTCACAAGGCTTTTCACATAACGTTTAACCCTGGTTAAAGGCCGCTTTTAAAATTAATTTACACGTTTTTATAGTTGTTTTTGATCAACGGATGACGCTTTTAACAATAATATCCTAATTTGAAGAGCCTATTTAAATATTTAAGACCGGAGCTTAATATATAATTAGTAAATTTGTATTCACCATAAACATTTTTATAAGTTTTCCAAGTCTGAATTTCTAAATTAATTTCCTTATTACTTTTAATATGCACTGATATTTCCAGATTTTCATGACCATGGAAATGCTAGTCGCATGTTTAGTCAATTCTGGCCTCATTAAATATGCATGAGCACAGAGACATGAGGTTTAATATGCACGTGAAAAGTCATAAAAATGTGTTTAAAAATATCAAACTGGAATATTAAATTAGACAATATTTGTGTTTCAGAAGACTGAGAGCACTTATCCAATCAATATTAATAACTAAATAAGACATAATATTATGACATAAAGACATAATATTAATACATAAGACAAAACTGACTATTTGCTAGGGTTAAAAACGACCCAGGGTTTGAAGTGTGAAAAGCCATACATGTTCTCATTCTTCCTACCATGTAACTGATGTGATGATCTCAATTCCTGTCAGATGAAGTGAAGAGCACTGCACGAGATTCACAAGAAAGTGTCAAAGTCACCATTTTTTTAAAAATGATTTTCACTTCAAAATCTCATATTCCAGGTGAGTGTTCCATGACGTCTCATTACAAAATACTAGTTTGGGTCGGACGCACTCAACTGAGTTCACAGGTTACAAAATATACAAAATCCACAAAAAAGGGAGAGAGGAAATAGAAGAGCAGCAAATCAGCATATTAGAATGATTTCTAAATGATCATGTGACACTGAAGAAGAAAAAAGGTCATTCAGCTTTGCCATCACAGGAATAACTTTATTAGATTTAAAAACTACATTTTAAATTGCAATAACAATTCACAATATTACTGTTTTTACTGTAAGTTTGATCAAATAAAGCAGTATTGGAGAGCATAAGTAGCTTCTTTCAAAAACATAAAAAAAAAACATCTTACTGCCATCCCCACCAAATGATTCCTATGAATCTTCTCAAAGCTCTCAGCTATCACCGCACGAACACCCTAAATAACCCAGTCAAGACAAGCCCCTATGTTAAAGGAACACTCCACTATTTTTGAAAATAGGCTAATTTTCCAACTCCCCTAGAGTTAAACAGTTGAGTTTTACCGTTTTCGAATCCATTCAGCCGATCTCCGGGTCTGGCGGTAGCACTTTTAGCTGTAGCTTAGCATAGATCATTGAATCTGATTAGACCGTTAGCATCTCGCTCAAAAATGACCAAAGAGTTTCTATATTTTTCCTATTTAAAACTTGA